GTTGGTGTGTGTTGTGGGGGTTTTTCGTTTTTTTTTTTTTTTTTTTTTTTTCTGGAAATGATGCACAGAGCAGCCATGTCTAAATGCTTTAGATTTGGCATGGAGGTCTGTGTTTTTAACTCATACCTGCTATTACCTAACCAGTATATTTAAAAGGCCATTTGAGTTCTTTATGTTCAAACATGCATAGACTAAAGAAGTTACCTTAAAAGCATAAAATGATTGAGTTGTATACTTCATGCAGTTTAATGATAATTAAAGCTTGCTCATATCTTCCACATGTAAAAATACATGCGACGGAAAATCTCTGGTCTACTATTCTGCTCTAAAACCTATTTGTAAACAGCCACAAGTATCTGAGGTTTCTTTCCCGAGTACTTTATACACAGAATTTTAGTGTTGTAATAAAATGCATATATCATTTCTGTTTTTCACACATAAGGGTTGCTTTATATTTTCTGGTGCTATAAAAATGGGAAATTAAAGCTGCCTGTTCCTGACTTACAGGTTCCTAGCAATATAAACTAACAGAATAATATCGAACCAGATTTTAACAGAACTGTAGTACAAAATGAGTTTCTGCAGACTTAGAATGTTATATATTGTTTTCTTCAGTATACTAGCTTGGAAGCCAAACTCTGTCAAATAGAAAGTAAGTACTTGATCTTGCTTCAAGAAATGAAAACTCCTGTTTGTTCTGAGGAGCAGAGTCCTGCTCGAGAGGTCATCACACAGTTACTGGAAGATGCCTTGAAAGCAGAAAGCAGTGAACAACCAGAACAGGCATTTTTCAAACCACACCTGGTCAGGTAATTTGGTCCTATTAAAATAGATATATGTGTATCTTGGTCCTAACACTGGGAAACAAGACAGTGGGGGTTATATTTGCAGGATTTAAAGGGTTTGATGTATATCCTTTCATGAATAAGTGTCATCATTAACTCCTTTTGGCTGTATAAATTTATTATTTTATTTGAGATACAGTATAAAATTAAGACACTAATGTTGCTGTACAGTTCCTGAATGAGAGCTGCCAAGAAGATGAGTTCATTTGAACTTGACCATATTCTTAAGTAAATTGCCTGATTTGTATAGTAATATATATTGGAATATAGGCACAAAGTTTTTTTTATATATGAGATTACAAAAATAATTATTAGATAAAGGATATACTTTAGAAAAGCATTTAAATAATTTTTATAAACTTGAGCACTATGGGGAGTGGTTTGAGATATTTGAAGTAAATGATGGGAACTGGAGAGTTTCAGGGCTACTGAACACATTTTTAAAAGACTTTTTCTTTTTTTTTTTTTCCCCCTCTCTGTTTCAGTGAATATGATATCTATGGTTTTCAGACAGTCCCAGAGGATGATGAGGAGGAGAAACTAGTAGCAAAATCACGAGCTTTGGACCTCAGGTCACTTTCTCTCAGTGAAAATCGAGAGATTTCCACAGGAGTAAAATGGGAGAACTATCTTGCAAGCATGATGAACAGAGAGATGATGCGCTGTGTGGAACTAAAGAATCTTATTAGATCTGGAATTCCACATGAACACCGTTCCAAGATGTGGAAATGGTGTGTCAATCTCCATGTTAAAAAGTTCAAGGACAGCACTGTTCCTGGGTACTTCCAAACCTTGCTTCAAAATGCTCTGGAGAAACAAAATCCTGCATCTAAACAAATTGAGTTGGATCTCTTGAGAACTTTGCCAAACAACAAACATTATTCTTCCCCGACATCTGAAGGGATCCAGAAGCTACGAAATGTGCTGCTGGCATTTTCATGGAGAAATCCTGATATAGGGTATTGCCAAGGGCTCAACAGGTAAGATTTGGCAAACCTTAAGTTATAACTATGCCCTGAATTGCTTAATGAGCCTTTTAAATCACGTGTAGCAACATGCTTTTGGACAGCAAATTGCCTTGTGTAATGTCTTTGTCATTTATAATGTTTGAATAAACAAATAGCTATCACGTTTTTAAAAAAAAATAAATAAATAAAATCAGAAGACCTGGATCACAGAACTTGTAAAATCAGCTTGGCATAAGAACTGGAACTGGAATTAACTCAGATAAGAGGTGGGCCACTTAAATGTAGTTTTACATTGTCTTCATTTCAATTGTAGGAGATCTTTTTGCTTTTGTGGTTTTTTTTTGTTTGTTTGTTTTTTTTTTTGTTTTTTAAACAACTAGAAATAAATCCTTGAAAGCTGCTTTTTTTGTACTGGTAAGGCAACAAATTTCAGCATTTCCCTTGGGAGGTCTTCTATCAGAATTGCAGTATTCAATTTAAGGATGATTCTGATGCTAACAGTGCTAAGAAAAATTACAAGTCATGGCAACTAATGTTTGCTGAAATAGTTTTGGTACCTTGTGATCTGTAGTAAAGGTAGGTGTTACTTGAAGCAGTTGTGTTAGTCTAACACCCTCCTTGTGCCCATGATATAATACTGTAGATGCCAGTTTGCGCACTAATTTATGTACTTGAATAGGTTAAGAGACTTTTGAACTTGAGCAGCTTGATCACTTGAAACTGCACTGAAGTAGTAGTGGAATAGAGGCAGTGAATAATGTAGTAGAGGTAGTGAGGTGGTGGTGGTAGCAGTAGTAGAGGTAGCAAGTAATGTAGGGATAAGAAGAATTTTTCTGAGTGTTCATCACTAATGGTTATGTTCTGTAAGCAAATCATACATTTTTAGTATTATTGTTGTTGCTGCCATGTCACAAGATGTGTCTGAAGAACACAACTGCTGCACTCTTAGAGCAACATGTCTCTGGTGACTAGAAGGTGTTAGGAAAGCTTTTGCTAACTTTGAACTTTCTGTGCAACATTATTTTCTCCTGAGACGTTTCTGGTTTTACTGTAAATCATGCTTTATTTGGGTATACTTGCAGAAGTTAAAAACAAATTAGATGTTTATTCTGTGCTTTTAGTCCTCTTAAGTTTAAAGTGTGCTCACACCTTATTAAGCTGTGCAACATCAGAAGCAGTTCATGTTGTTACACGTCCTCTTGGGCACATAAATAAAACAAGTTTACTTACAGAAGTATATTGGAGGTTAACGTTTCATAATCAAACAACTATCAGTAGCATGAGGTTATTCTGTTTCTTTTTTTTCCTGTCGTCATACTCATTGGAAATAGGAACACCAGGGATGCTGCTGCTTAATATATTATTTGTTTTTTAATATTAAGAAATTCTTAGAACAAGCTTAGTCTTTAAAAAATTTTCCTTTCCTTAACACATAAAGGTAAAAGTGTTACTTTTATTTATCTTAGTGGACATAGAGTCAGCTTACAACAATGTTGTGTGAAATGCAAGAACCATCTGTTCAATATTTCAATAATGAAAGACAAAAGTTTGCAAATCAGAGTAGTGTATTTAGGACTTGGAAGCTTCTACTTATTTTGCCTTAGTTTATGGAAGAATGGCTTCTAGCAAATCACTTTGATTTTGCCTTTATGTATTTTCTGATTTAACCGAATAAAAATACTTGGTGTGATTGAGAAGGCACTTTGCTGCCTCATTTTAAGCTTCATTAATGGTTGTGCTGTTTAGTGCTCTCCTGTTAACACATTTACCTTTGCAGAATTTAAACCAAGGCTTTATTTTAACTGTTCTTAATCCATTTTTTTTGATACTACAATAAAGTTTCTCCAAATAAACACTGTTTTTTCAGGTTGGTAGCAATTGCACTTCTGTACTTGGAACAGGAAGATGCTTTTTGGTGCCTAGTAACAATAGTTGAAGTTTTCATGCCTCGTGATTATTACACTAAGACACTGCTGGGATCTCAGGTATGTGCTCTGCCAAAATAAAGCCTGGTCCTGTAAACTGTAGCCAGTCAGAAACTTTCCTCTAGAACTGATAGGCCCTTTTGGGGAATGTGTTGGGTTAATGGAGGTGAGTTCTGGGCACCAGGGCCCTCGTTTGGACAAGGACTCTTAACACTGAAATAACTGTTCAGTGGAGTGCTTGGAGCTCCAGTTCTTACACCTTCATCTGATTATTGCCTTCACAACATTGACTGAGCTCATTTATCATCTGTTTCCTCAAAACCGGGGAGAAGAGGGGAAGAGAATGGGATGGGATGGTTATGGGTTTTCTGGGAGAGTAGGAATGAAAATGCATTTTGCGGTACTGTGAGCAGTATGTGCTGTAGCACTCCTGCTCCCAGGGGATGCTCTGTTATGTTCTGCCTCCTCCCTCTCAAGTCTTTCCCCAGCTTGTTCTCTGCTCCGGTGTTCCTGCGCCAGGACTGCACTAGTGGGAGCACAACCTGTGTGCGCGGAGCCCGTTGAGGGCCCCGGGTGGACAGAGAGGCAGACGGTGGTGTCAGCACAGGCGGTGTGCACTGGGACAGCCGTGTATGCTTTGGGTGGACCTAGCTTACAAGTGCTAACTAGATGGTCCTGGGGTTCCTGGTTAGATCTTGAAAAATTTGCATTTGCAGATTGGTAACTGCTCTACTTTGAATTACACGTGTGTTGGAAAATTAGGAGCAATAATGTTATATTTGTCATCTCTTTAGGTTGATCAACGAGTATTCAAGGATTTAATGAGTGAGAAGCTTCCACGACTGCATGCTCATTTTGAACAATACAAAGTTGATTATACTCTTATAACTTTCAACTGGTTTCTTGTGGTATTTGTGGACAGTGTGGTCAGCGACATCCTTTTTAAAATCTGGGACTCCTTCCTATATGAGGGACCAAAGGTGAACTGCATGAGCTAAGATTTTTTTTTTCACGTGTTGCCTAGTAACAGTATACTGTGGTGTTACTGAGTACAGGATGGAAGAGGGTTGTTTCACAAGAATCCTGTCAGTTAAATTCACTAGTAGGAAAAAAAAGGGAGGAAATGTGCATAAAAAAACAATCCAAACATTTTCCATGTTATTTGAGTTCTGCAAGTTAAAAACTTAAGTTAGATTGAAGAATTCTGAATGCCAAGTATTTTTCTTTCACCACCCACCTTTTTTTTACCTTTGAAAAATAAAGCTATAGACAGTTCTGTTTACTTCTGTGTGTAGCTGTCAGTTTTATGTAATTATATCAAAATGAGAGCTTCTCTTACAAAGAAGAAGGTCTAAGTGAAGGAGACAGAAGTTACAAGTATTGAAAAGATATGAAGTTATTTATAACCAAGTGCTAATATTTAGCTCGTCTCTGCAGCAACTATTTCTTTTATTTTGGCAGACATCTAAAGCACAGCTGACAAACGATGACTATCTGGGCTCCTCTTTTGTAAATTAAGTGGTGGGGTGAAATTTTTCATGGGTTTCATACTTGTCGAATTGCAGTGGTTTTTTTTCTGTGCAGGAAAAAAAATGGATTCAAACACAATAATAACACTAAAGCAGATGTTGTAGGCAGAAACAACAGGAGAGTTGTAAAATCAGTAGACAAAACCCTATGCATTAGCTAGATTTCTTGTTGGCAGCACGTGAGCATTCTAACATGCAGTTGTATTTTGCTTGTGTGTTCATTCAAATCAGTTTTAAGCTTCATGGTATTTTGTGAAGGTAGCTAGTTGCAAACTGATGAAGTTCAGAACTTAACAGAGCCTTTTCAGAATGAAGGGAAATGATTCTTCTTCTAGCTCATGCCAAAGGTGATTGACAAACTGGCATCAGAAATTGCTTCGGCATCACTTCCCCAACAGGCTGGGAAAATTCAAGGCACTGGAAAACCACCTGTTTAAAGAGCAAAACTTAATTTTAGTTGTGAAGTAACTTCATAAATGCGTTTAGACAGGCCCAGCAGTCTTTGTTCTACAAGTGAATTAGGAACTCCAAACTTCCCTGAATATGTATGCTATAAATGCAGTATTGTTTCCTGGATAGAACTGCAGAACACCTTGTCTAGCTTACTGGCCCCAACAGAAGTGTTTTGGCAGCTGCTGGAAATGGGGGATGCATCAGGGAGCGACAGGGAAGACAGAGGTGTGGTTAGAGAGTTCAGCTGCAGCCTGTAGGAGGAGTAGTACTTTTCCTTTGAGTTTATAATAGAAGATAATGAGAATCGGTGCGTTCTGTTCTTATAAGAAGCCAAACATTGTATGTGTTTTTCTCAGGTTATATTCCGATTTGCCTTGGCACTTTTTAAATACAAAGAAGAGGAGATCTTAAAACTGCAAGATTCAATGTCCATTTTCAAGTACCTTCGATATTTCACACGCACTATACTTGATGCTAGGTGGGTAACTCAAACCTGTGTGTAATTGAAAAACTTGCAGTGGAGTGTGGAAGAAATCTTTTGGGTGTTTTCTTTTTGTTTCTTTTTTGAGTTCTTTTAGTTTTCTCTAGATCTTAATTTAGATATAAAGCAAATAGAGGCTACTAAGATTTCTCATGACTACTTTTATCTAGCAGAGGCAAGATCACAAGAAATGAATGCATTGTTGTAAATTTCTAGGTATGATAGAGATTACTTTGCCAGGTTGGTCTTGTTCAGCAGTTATATCATGATATCAACACTTAAGAATTTCAATCATAGGTGAACTCTCACCCTGCATCACAGATATAGCTTATGTTGTGAAATGTTTTATGCTAAATAAAGATGCGTCCTGGCTCAAGTACTAAAAATGTGTCCTATCTACCCACTAGATTTAGATCTCTTATGCATCATTAATGCATGGACTAATGTCATAGAACTCCAGCTGATTTTAAGAATTACTTCAGTGCAGAGAATGAACACGTTAGATACTCTTCTGCTCTGTAGTCCTTGCATAGGAATTACAGTTTGTAAATAAGGGTCTGATGTTTTTAGGTTCCTGGTTACAAAACTAAAGCAGCAGATTAATCTTAGAAAGAAAAGTCATATTTGGCTTCGTTTAATGTCTGAAAGCATGCCTTGCACAGATACTGAAACTCACTAATTTTCATTTTTTTTTTTTAAAAACATATACTAGAACCTGAGGTGTTTGGGTTTACTATAATAAATTCCATATGAATTTAGACTTACATTTTGACTTCTACTGCAAGAGCTATTTATTGTTTTCACTGCCTGTGTTTCAGTTTTGACTGGAGAGAAGTTAAAACTGAATAATCTTACCCTGTGTTTAAAAAGGATTGCTGGGACTGATACAAGGAGAATGTTCTGCAAGTAATTTAGGTAGTAAAAGTCTTGATAGCTGAAGTTACTTCCACTGCTGGTTTTGAAACCTCTCCAAAAACTCTTGAGGGGGTGTTGCGTGGTGCTTTGCATTTTAGCATTTCCCACTTTGATTTGGAAAATGCTGGGCAGTTGTTCTCATCTGTTTGTGACCAAAATAAATAGTGACTCTGATTCCAAAACTGTAAGTAACACGGAAGTATTTATTTCATTTTGGGAAGAGGGTGTGCGTATTTTTAACAGAAAACAGTAACTAAAACTTGTAAATATTTTATAATTGACAAATATGCTACTTTGTAGCTTAAAATAAAATGTGTACTGTGTAGTACCAGTAGTACCAAAGCAGTATTACCAGAAGCTGCCTACTGTAAAAGAAAAGGGGAGGGAGAAAAAGGAACAAGTAAATTTTAATCTTTGCTCTTGCCTAATTGGAACAAAATGTTGATATTTAATTGGAGCTGCAAATTTGGCTTTCCCTTCCTTTTCTGATTATGTAACAGCAATGATGTCTTGGTTCTCATGTCCAAAATTTCTGATGCTGAAATAAACTCTTTTAAAAAGATTTCTAATACGGCTGGAAGAAATCTCATTTTGGTACTAATAAAATTAATTCCTCGGGTGTCTTGGGCAGATGCTGAGTTCAAGCAAGGACAGAATTCATTGCCTCACAGATATTTACAACACAGATGTACTCTGTGTTGGTCTGTAAATGTGGTTTCCTAGGATTTCAGAGGTCAGAGTTGAAAGGAGTGATGTAGTGCCACCTAGGGCACGTGAGTTTGCCTGCTAGAACTGATAAGGCACAGTTCAAAACACGTGGCTTCTTTTTCTACCATTTCTGTACAAGTTTTACAGCATCAAAATTTTAAACAATACAAAAGGATGTAGAATGATGTTGTCCCTGATAGGGACAAATAGTCATCTTGTAGAGGAAAAATTCTGAAAGATTATTTTTGTAGAATTCATGGACGTTTTCAATGGGTTATAAAATCATTTTGCACAAAATTTCTAAGTTTAACTCTGGTGATGAAAAGTCTCTATAAATGTGCATAATTGTACTCTGGGTTATAGGACGTCACATTTCAGTTTTCTTACAGGTAAAAGTTGTGTTCCATGTTATCTTGTGCACAGGTAGAGAAGCTTTTGGAATACATTCTGTTTATAAATAGCAGGAAATAGTTCTTGTTCACTCAAAAATACAAACCTAGGGAGTGCTTAGCCTTAAATAAACAGTCCAAATACACTTTCTTAATAGTTAGGAACATCTGGTAGTTAAACTAGGACAAGTTAAATTCAAGTGCCCCTTTTTCCTATAGTAATTAATGAGATATTTTTTAGGTAAAGATGAACAGTGATGATGTAGTTAACTCTGTCTTTGGGCTGATTGTTAGTAGTTTTGCTGTGACTGAATGGTAGCACAATGCAGCATGATTCTGGAAGGGTGATGGATACTCTTATGGTGCTCTGCTATGTGATGTGACAAGCTCAGAGATTTCTGTGCTCCAGCCAGTAGAATACCAGAGCTTCATCACTGTATCATAAAATTTGGCTTATACATGTTTTGTATTATCCTTGGTTTTATTTTTGTGTTATCCCAGGCTTTATCTGGCCTCTGGCACCACTTCATTATCTGGATTAACTTGAGAATGGCTGTCCTGGGATTGAATGAGCTTCAGTCAGTTCTGTGGAGAACGTTGTCCAGTCTGTAACTGGGTAACTGGATGTACCAAGTATTCAGTCTAGCCAGTGAAGCTCTGATTAGCCCGGCTTACATCTCCTGCTCGGTCTTCCCAAGGCTGTAATCACTATAGCATTGCATAGAGTTTGCAGGTGGCTTTGCAACCTGCTGAGTGTTTGATAGCACTCCTCACTTGAAAAAAATATAAAACTGAGTGTTTTATATTATTTCCTTGCAATACTGATAACATCTGAAACCTGCCAGGTATGCAGGGGAGACCAGAGATATCAGCCATATGCTAAATATCAATGTAGGTGAAGTTCTAAACTGATTTTACAAACACCACCAGATAGGAATGATTGCCTTCTAATGTTGTGTAATCTTCCAGGAAACTGACTGGTATTGCTTTTGGAGACCTGAATCCTTTTCCATTACGTCAGATCAGGAACCGAAGGACCTATCACCTGGAGAAAGTACGTCTCGAGCTCACTGAACTCGAAGCCATTCGTGAGGATTTCCTGCGTGAGCGAGAGACGTGTGTAGAAAAAAGAGACCTTATTAGTGATGATGAGGAGGATAGCTGAAACTACTCCACATAAACTTCTCTTTGGGATCATGACCAAAGTGAGTTAACCTCCAAACGCTTTATTAATCCTGTCAAACAGAATGTAAACCAGTTGCTTTTGGAAATGTGCAGGACAGATTTCCAAACTCCAGCACTTTCAGAAATACCGCTTTGTGTGGAGGCCAAACACTCTGTTTACATTTATGTTCATGGAATTGTATGTAGAGCCCATTATATCTGTTTCGATTTAGTCAATCAGCTGAATTGCCAGTTTTCTTCCAGTGCACTTGTAGTGCCTGTATGTGAAGAAAACTGTATGTAAGAAAACTCATCGCCCTGCTTACTATGTTCATTGCCATTCTGTGGTGTGTTTTTTTTTTTTTTTATCTAATCATATTTTTTTTTGTAGCACAGGTTCAGTGTGGGAAGACGTTTTTTAGTTTCAGGTTGGTTCAATACATGGCTTTCATCATGTTGTCTTTGAATAAACAATCCTTTATTGAGGTCACAAACTAGAAAAGCGTGGAAGAACTTTTACATTCCTTTGTCATTTCTTGCAGTGACATGAAGTGGATCATCAGAGCACTTGAATATATGTACTTAAAGTAAAGGTAAAATACGTGCCTGTTTGTCACTGAATGTTCAGTGTATACTGAAACAGTAGTATCAAACATCATTTATGCTTTTCTAGGCAGCTGTGTTGATAAAGATTTTTGTTAATGCAAAGGATTTCATAGAACAAATTCTGTTCAGTCAATTTTGTTTCTGTTCCCTTCTTTGATTGCAATGTCTCAAAAAAGCCACAACTAGGTATTATGGAAGAAGAACAGAGCTTGTCAGGGTGTTTAGCTGTAGTGTTTCTGACTATGGAAGTAAGACAGGAGGCCATGCTTTCTCATTTGGTGACTAGCAATGCTCAAATGGTTCTGAGGATGAGGAAGACTTCTTTCTTATTGGCTACTCTCTGGACACTTGCAGTGTTCTTGAGCTATTGGATCTTCAGAGTGCTGGATGGACTTATATGTTTTATCTGAATGTGTCATAATAAAACTAGCATTTAAATGTAAGGCAGCAAATCACTCACCTCTGGGGAAGTGGTTAATTGGCAGAAAACAAAACTGTTGGTCGGGAACAGTCAAGTGCACCAAGCTTCTACTTCGTGTGTTTTCTTTTGGTTTTTTGTTCGTTTTTTTTCTTTGTAAACAAGTAGGACTTCTTAATTGGGTACACTCATGTAAATATTTTAGAACACTTAAGTGTGTGCAGGAGGAAATCGTGTTTCTGTTTCACAGCACTTTTTTCTGTTCTGTAGAATGTATTTGTAGCCTTCTATAAATAAATGTATTGCCAATTTATCTAGAAGGGAAATAATTAGTGGTGAACGTTGTAACTTACAGGACTACTTTTTGATAGAAAATGTATGCTTCTTCTTATGATATACAATTTTTAATTAGCCAACAAATCCTTGTGAATGAGGGACATGTGGTGCAATCATCTTGATTTGTATTTTATTTGTCTTCTAAGATGTCCCCTACCATGTCTATTGTATGCGGTTGTTATGTTTTTTTTTTTTAATCCCTAGTTACTCTTGGTTGTGCACTTGAGTTTATTAAGCAGGGTTTTCGTATTATTGCATGTACTGTACTCTTTTTCTTGCTTACAGTCAGTGTTTGAATATAAAAATGGGACCAAGTTTTCTAATTCTCTAATTACGCTGTCTTGAAAGAGCTGGTCTCTAAATCAATCTGTAATGTTTACTTTCTTTTTGATGTTTGTTTTAGTCTTGTTTTCGAGGGTTAAATGAAATCTTTGTAAGCTGAAGATCTTCCTTCCAGTGGCAACAGTTGAAATCTTAAGGTGAAGAATTCAGAATGTACCCACCCTGTTCCTACAAGTCTGTTATTCCTGGGTTTTAAGTCTTCACTAAGAACTAGTGCTATGACTTCAGGAGATGTTTTCAGATGGATTTCAATGAAGTCTTTAGGTTGTAAAGATAAAACTACCCTTAGGACAGCTGTTGGGGAAGTTCTCTACCTGACAACACATGACCTGCAGTGTTACAGGACCATTTCTTTTTTGCAGTGCTGATGGTTAATTCCTGCATGTGTGTTACTGTGTTGCATTGTATAAGTTGTTACCCAGTTGTACAGCCAAACTTAGTAGCTGTGTGTCTTACGTCTCTGTGTGAAGGGAACAGATGAATGTTAGGAAACTTATGGAAATCACATTGTCACTGACTATTTTGTTAGCTTGCAAATATGAAGTGAGTTGATGCTGTTATTCTCAAGTTCCCAGCGAGCTGTTGGCTTAATTTTGTTAAGCATTGTTACTGATGCCTTAGTTAAAAGGTCAAAAAGTTGCAGAGGCATCTAACCTCTGACCACTAGGAGTCTGCATAGAACAAAAATGAGATGTATATAGCAGGAAACAGCATCAGAGGAAGTTTTCCTTCCTTTTGCAAATGTCTTTGGTTGACTCGTTAGTTTTCTAGTGCTGCTCAATCTGGTAACTTTGAAGAGTAGTAACTAGTTAGGGAGATGCCAGATACACAGGTGGTATTTAAACCTGCTGAAACCAAGCCAGAATACAGTGTGTCTTGGCCCGCAAAGGCCGAACTGCTTAGATGCCAACTGTTCCTATTTAGAGGGAGACTTCTGAAACAGTACATGCAGATTTAACATTCCTGCCGGCCACTTAGTAGGAAATTGACATGCTAATGCAAATAAAGACTGCTAAGATTATTTTTTTTTAACTTCAAGGTCATGCATGCATGTGCAAAAAGCTCCTTACACATGGTTCCCACTATATGTGATGTAAACCAAAGTGCTAAGTTGAATCTTGCAGAATATTCCTCAGTCTTCATATGTTTGTGCATGGCTTTCCAGTGAAACTTCTTCCAGTTACTTCTTCAAAACCTTCTGTTTTCTCCTGTCAAATAGGCAAAAAAACTGGTGCATTACACATCTAGCTATTAAAAGTACAGTATTTCAGCTTTACCTGTACATGTGTGCAGGTAGTGTTATCATTCAGTGTTATCAGGTTAATTGGTGTTATTTTTTTTACCAGCTACATAACTAATATAAAGGATTTTTTGTTGACCTTTAGGTGTCTTCTGTGAGAGATTCTCCCCCTCAGTCTTTGTAAACATGGGAAAGGTTTTTTTTTTTTCCTTAGGGCATCAGGAATGAATAAATGGTCTTAAATTGGACACAGTTGTATGTTCAGTCGTGCTTAACTGAAAAATGGAAAATGAATCAAGTTCATGAAATTGTGTAGCCATAAGTTGATGTTCCCCTAAGTGCTATGTTAGAAAATAGCAATATGCGGTACAAGAAATTTGAATCACAAAATATAAATGATGTTATTTTCATAAAGATTGATGTAAAGAAAAAATAAATTTATTACTTTACAAATTGCTCTGTTTGTTTTGTCTGTGTGTGTTTTGTTTTTTTTTTTTTTTTCTTTTCATAACAGATGGAAATAACTGTGGGTGCCATCAGAACACACCAGTAGTAAAGAAGGTGTTTTTGTCTGATTGTGATTTGAGAGGGTCTCTAGAGAGGAGCATGTATGCAGATTCGTCTTTGAAGCATGAGGATGTGAATTATAGACATGTTGCATGCTGACTGTGTAAACTTGCAATTGGTGTCCTTAGCTTCCTGGGAGAGGAGGGAAGGGCAGTGGGGATTAAATTTGCATGAGTGTTCACAGGGAACAGATCACCTAAGAAATGTACATTTGTATAATATCCTTCCACTTAAAGCCTCTCCAGTAGGCTTGGGCACTGATGTTCTGCTAAGGCCTTTGGTAACCAAGTACTTCATTATAGCTGCTCTTAACAAAGTACTGAGTTAATTTGGAAATCTAGCCTCAACGTCTGTCTGTCAGATAAGATTTTTGCATTTTGAAGTTACCCGACTCCCTTAAAGAGACTATCAAGTACCTCAGCTACTTCAGGTGAAAAACTTAGAAGCTAAATGTTTGTGAGGGAGCAAAAGTAAGAGTTGGGAGAACGCTTTTAATTGCGTGTCCACGCAGAACTTTCATAGTAGAGGTGAACAGTGCACCTCTGGCTCTGCTATGGGATGGCATCCTGTTAAGAATAGAGATTGGCACAGCTGGAAATCTGTTCAAAGGGGTTGCAAAACAGGAGAGAGAGTAGCGATTGAAGCATAACATGACTATGGCCTACGGATCTCCTATTCTGTATACTGACAACTTAAGCCAGAGGAGTAAATGGATAATTTGGGGAAGACAATGCATAGGGAGCAACATCCTTACTTGGACACTTGGCATATTTAGCTTGAGTAGATCACATTGCCCTAGCAGCTGCTGGGGCCTGCTAAAGAACAGCTGAAGCTCCAGTTCCCTCCTTGGGACTGAGCTTGACACATCTGCTCTGAGTGGAATTGCAATGAGGATGCAAGGGTGGCTGATGTTTATAGCTGATGTGTGGTTGTTAAATATGTTATTTGTATGAAACTCATTTAACTTAGAAAGGATAAATGTGACTTGCTTGCTCTGAGCTGAGATCAAGCACCTGCAGAGGCACCCTCGGCACTGGCTGCCTCAGAGAGGCAGAGAACACACTAAAATTTGCTGGTGGTACAATATAGCAGATATCATTCTGAGGGATTTTCAGAAGTGCTAAACATAGCTTCCTTATCTGCAGCTCCTTGACCTCACTGGCAGCAGAATCCATGTAGTGCTGAAGCTGTAGGAATTCCCACACATGTAGTACATTCACTGAGGTAATGCAAAGGAAGGAGGTAATGCTCTGCCTTGGAAGTTCCCTCCTGGAAAAGATGGTGAAAGGTTCAATTACAGGGCAGTTGGTAGGGCTGTACGGAGACACGTGCATACGGTCATCCCCACCTACAGTGCTGGCTTTTCAAGGAGTTAGAATATACCTGGCAAATGAAGATTACTTTGGCCTTAATTAAGATACTCCTAGTGTGGAGAGACCACATCCTGCCTGTGTGTTTCATGAGGGCTACCTTTTGCGTGTACAAAACACAGTTACATTTTTGTGGTGGGTTGCCTCTAAGA